TCAGTGATGAACACCTGGGATTTACATGATGTGATGCAACCTTACTTGAAAAAAAAAAGAGGAAAAAACGTCTAGCTGGCCAGGGAGAGACAGCCTCCCCAGTGCTTGCTCACCAGCGCTGAGAGAGCAAAGGGAGCATGCCTTTCACGTGCAGACCAACTAAGTCCCAACTATCCTCTTTACCTAACTCTCACACACCAAGCCAGCATTTCCTCTGCCTGAAGTCACCCCCGGGCCAGGTGACAGGCAACTAGAGATCATGTCTATAGCCCAGGGCCCACAGGAACTATTCCAACTGGCCAGTCTGAAGATATTCGCTCTGTCCTGCCTTGTCTTTCTAAGGGAAAGCCCTCAAAAGCTCTGGCCAAGGCTTTCCCAACTCCTTTCTGGCTCCTGACCAAACCTGGTGCCTCCCCATGTGGCCCTATGTAGTGTGGTATGCCCTTCACTAGGGGAATGAAAGAAATACATTCTTCTTTCAAGGATTTTTTTTCCTTCTCTTTTCTTTTCTTTTTTGTATTTAAAGCTATTTTTATTTTTTATATTAATTTTTAAATTTTTTACATCATTGTTCATTTTTAAACAATATTTGCTCCCCCCACCCCCTCAGGTGTAGTTCCCATAGAGTTTCCTTCACCAATGCACCCGTGCACCATCACCTCAGTCCCCTGTGCTCCGCCCTCCCTCCTTCCTTCTCCTCCCCTGCAGTATGTCTCTAATTTAGAATTGTCCGTTTTTGCTTTGTTGTGTTTTGTACTGTTACCATTTTTTTTTAAAGATTTATTTATTTATGGATACAAGAGCTGGGGTACAGGCCAAAGATGTGGGGGTGAGAGGATTCACCAGAGACAGAATGGGGAGCAGAATAGGCAGGTTGACCGAAATACACAGCTGAGGGGAACAGTGGGCGAATCAGGAGAGGTCTGCTGCGCCATGTGGGTCAGGTCCCTGGCTGGGGATCGAACTCATGCTGTAGTGGCTGTGGATAGCTTCATAGGTTGTGTCTTAACCCCTTGTGCCACCAGGGAGGCTCCCTGTTATTATTTTTTTACACTGATGTCTTATTTGGTTCTCCTATATTCCTGCTATAAATGAAACCATTTTGATATTTTTGTTTTTCCTTCTGGCTTATTTCTCTGAGCATAATTTCCTCTAGCTCCATCCATGTTGCTGTGAATGGCATGAGCTTATCTTTTTTGATTGTTGAATAATATTCCATTGTGTATATATGCCGCATCTTCTTGATCCAATCGTCTATTTATGGGCATTTGTGTTGTTTCCAGGTTTTACCTATTGTAAAAATAGTGCTGCAATAAACATAGGGGTGCAGGTGTTCTTTTGAATCAATGTTTTTGTGTCCTTTGGGTAGATCCCAGGAGTGGAGTTGCCGGGTCATATGGTCACTCCATTTTTAGTAGACTGAGGAACTTTCAGACAGTTTTCCATAGTGGTTGCACCAGCTTGCACTCCCTCCAGCAATGTAGGAGAGTTGCTTTTTCACCACATCCTCGCCAACATTTATTGTTGCTTGTGTTTTTGGTATGTGCCATTCCTACTGGTGTAAGGTGGTATCTCAGTGTGGTTTTTTTTTTTTTTTAAGACATAGCTTTTATTTATTTATTTATTTATTTATTTTTATTTATTTATTTATTTATACAAGCACTGGGTACAGTCAGAAGCGCAGGAGGGTGAGAGAATTCACCAGAGCCAGAGCGGGGAACAGAGCAGGCAGAAGGACCGAAGTACACTGCTGAGGGGAGCAGCGGGTGGCAGGAGAGGTCTGCGCGCCATGTGGGACCCTCCTTCGGTGGCCAGGGAGCAGCCGGGGATCGAACTGGCGCTGCAGAGGCTGCGGGCAGCTTTGCAACCCAGCACTCAACCGCTGCACCACTGGGGAGGCCCTCTCAGTGTGGTTTTGATTTGCATTTCCTTGATTATAAGGGATGTTGAACATTTTTTCATATGCCTGTTGACCATTTGCATTTCCTCTTTGGAGAAATGTCCGCCCATTTCTTGACTGGATTGTTTATTTTGTTTTTGTATATCTTTGTGTTCAGTCCCTTATCAGTTGACTGGAGTGCAAAGATTTTTTCCCAGTCAGTGGGGTGTCTCTCTGTTTTGGTTAATGTCTCTTGCTGTGCAGAAGCTTTTCAGTTTGATGTAATCCCAGATGTTTTTCTTTTCCTTGGCTTTTTTTTTTTTTAAAGATTTATTTATTTATGCATTCAAGAACTGGGGCACAGGCCAGAAATGTGGGGTGTGAGAGGATTCATCAGAGACAGAGTGGGGAACAGAACAGGCAGACTGACTGAAATACACTGCTAAGGCAGGCAAGACAGGAGAGGTCTGCTTCACCATGTGGTTTCTCCCTGGCCGGCCGGAGATCGAACTTGTGCTACAGAGGCTGCGGATTGCTTCATAGTGTGGTACTTAACCCCTTGCACCACCAGGGAGGCCTCTTCCTTGACTTTCTTTGTTTTGGGTGATAAGTCTTTAAAGATGTTATTACAATGTATGTCTTGCAGTGTTTTACCTATATTTTCTTCTATATATTTTATGGTTTCAGGTCTTATGTCCAGTTCTTTTATTCATTTTGAGTTGATTTTTGTGCACGATGAGAGGTAGTGGTCTAGTTTCATTCTTTTGCATGTGGTGGTCCAGTTTTCCCAGCACCATTTATTGAACAAACTGTCCGTGTTCCATTGCATAGTCTTTGCTCCTTTGTCAAAGATCAGTTGTCCATATAAGTGTGGTTGTATTTCTGGGCTTTCTATTTGGTTCCATTGGTCTGTGTGTTTGTTTTTGTTTCATTGCCAAACTGTTTTAATTATTATGGCTTTGTAGTATAGCTTGAAGTTTGGAAGTGTGATACCTCCTTTCGCCTTTGTTGTCATCAATAGGGTTTTGGCTCTTCGTGGTTTTTTGTGGTTCCATATGAATTTCATCAGTATCTGTTCTATTTCTCTTTCAAAGATTTTTGAATGAGTCATCTTAATGTTATCACTCAGTCACGTCCATAAATTAACTCATCCCCTTCCCCCGTACATTCATGCCACACTGCACAATCTAACAGGGCAGGCCGTGGGGCACGGAAGGTGATGAACAAAATTCAGTGACAGATATATGAACTAAGATACCACAGGTCACAGGGAGAGGGACTGTTCTGTCCAGGTGAGAGGCAGGGAAGGTTTCTGAGCAGACTCCCCATTTCAGCTGAGCTTGATGGAACAGATGCGGGGCCAGGAGTCTCCAGGTAGATAAGGTTACCTGGATTTGGGAAGCTTCTTTGAGCTCCAGGCCTCCTAGAAGGCAACTGTGGCCATGTGGCTGGGGGTAGGGAGTCTTGCTAGCTTCGCCCCTAATGTCAGAGGAACATGGTCCTCCCAGTCAGAAACAGGTGAGAGTTCTCTCTCATGTCCACAATTGCTCTCCAAGTTGGTGTTTTCTCCTTAAACTTTAGGGGGACACCAAGACCTTGTAGCATAGCTGACATTTTCCTTGCAATAGTTACCTGATTTTATTGGGTAGCACCCTCCCTTCTCTCAGCCCATGACTCCACCCCAGCTTCAGGGTGAAGCATGTGATCAGGGTGAAGTATGGCATTCCTATGGCCACATGATGTATCACCAGGCACCTAATAGGGCCAATGAAACTTAAGACTTTTAAGGCAGTCAGTGAAATAAGACAGAAAGAAAAAGAAAAACATCAGATGGTTTCACTTATAGGAGGAATACAGGGGAACCAAATAAGGGATCAGGAAAAAGAATAAATGAAAAAACAAAATTAACAGGCAACTATTAATTAGAGACATTCTGCAGGGGAGGGGGAGGCAGAGGGATCAAAACAGAGGAGGGGAGAACACAAGGGACTATGGTGATGGTGCAAGAGTGATGTGGTGGTGGGAATTTTACAGGGACTACACCTGAGAGGAGAAACTATACATTGTATAAAAATGAACAATGATGTTAAATACAAATAAACAAATAAATAAATAAATAAATTAAAAAAAGACTTTTAAGAGTAGAGAGTGAGGCAAGTTGCTATTCTCTGGAATTTGGGCCTGGAAGGATGTGGGTCTGGGTTCCATCCCATTACAATGTGGAACTTGGAATGATGCCCATCCAGAGGAAGCAGAGATAAGAGAAAGGGAGAGGCTGGGCTGTGAAGACACAGTTGAATTCTGGATTAGAATGCTGCATCTCTGAATTTAAGTTTAAGTTGTGCTTTCTGACTCTTGCAAATGAAAGAGACTGGTATCCTTTCCAAAAAACTGCCATAACTGAAGGTTATGGCATCATTCACCAGGATATTGCAATAGGCTTCTCATTGCTCTTCCCATGTCCCTGTTCCAATGCATTATTCATTCTTCCATCACCTTTCACCTATCCAAGCATTCATCATCCATGCATCCACCTACCCACCCATCTATCCATTCATCATCCGTTAATCTATTATTTATCAATTCATTCATTCATCCACCATCCATCCGTCATCTATTCATCCATCCATCCATCCATCATCCACCCATCTATCCCTTCATCATCCATCAGTTATCCATTCATTCATTTATCCATCACCCATCCATCTTCCATCCATCATCTACTCATCGATAATTTATTCAACATCCATTTAGCCACCATTCATCTCTAGTCATCTGTCACTATCCATCCACTTACCCATCATCTGTCCCTTGTTCATTCATCCATCCTCCACCCACCTAGTCATCTTGCTCATCCATTTATTACCCATCCCTTCATATCACTTATTTATCAATCTTCCATACATCTGTTTATCCATCCATCCATCCATCCATCCATCCATCCATCCATCCATCCAATATCTACCCTGGGCTGTGAACTGGACTTGGTGCTGGGGACTCAGGGAGAACCAGTCAGTTGCAGGCTAAGCCCAGTCAATCAAATCAGGTTATTCCATGGTCAGCAGGAGGACAGAAACTATACATACTTGGTACCTGATCACTGTGAAAGGTGAATACTTACATCTAGTCCTGGCTCCCCGGGCCTGCCCTGAGGAGAAACAAATAAGAGGCTTAAAGGGGTTAGGGAAGGGACATTGGAAGCACAGGTCCTGGGAAGTTCAGTCTTATAAGTTGTCCACAAGCCTAAACTCTGGCCCCAGAACCAGTGAGGTGCAGGAGTTGACACATGGTGGGGGTGGGGGTGTGCCTAAAGGAAGGTGATTACCTTCTCTCCTTTGGTTCCTGGCAGCCCAATAAGGCCTGGTGGGCCAGCTGGCCCCTGGATGGAAAAGGAAGGGGTCAAGAGGCATGCTGATTGTAGGAATTATGGCTGGGGCAAACAAGGCTCATGAACTCACAGGCAACCCGGCGGGGCCTCTATCTCCTGTCTCGCCCTTCTCTCCTTTTGCTCCATCCAAACCCTGGAATTGAAGGGGCCACATGAGTCAGGGGTAGGGGGCCAGAGAGATGGCAGGACAGGACAGTTTGCAGCATGAATGAAGCTGGGGGACAGACTCCAGGCTCCAACAGGCCTGGCCTGGGCTTCCCCTCCTGTGTGAATAATCAGATGGCGCTGTGGGGGAGCACATTTTGCCTTTTCCCACACGGACTCCTTCGGTAATCATGGAATATGGTTAGGGTCACATTCACTTCACAGATGAGGGTGGGGACCACCTTTTTCTGTCACACAGCCAGGAAGTAGCAGGGCTGAGGACTAATCAGACTACTGAGTCCCAGCCTTGGATGCAGTCCCTGATGGCAGCTGCCTATTCTAAACATGATGTGGGGGGACAGTGACAAAACAGAACCAGAAGCAGTACATCTGGTTGGGCCATGTGCTCAGTTGGGTAAATGAGTAGAGACGCCGGGGGCGTGGCAAGCAGTGGGGCCAGCTGGCCTCCCCTGCTGTGTGGGCCTGCAGGGGCTGGGACACAGGCAGGCCACACTCATGGTTTTAATTTCAGAGTGGAGACATGACATTATATAATATACTCTGAGCACAAGACTTCATGTCCAGGCTGTGGGCTGTTGACAGATGCGCAGGGGAGTGGAATCGGGTAGAGGAAGGGTACAAGGAAGAGGGCGTGCAAGGACTACAGGCAGAGGGAGAAAGTGAATGAACAGACCCCCCCCCCAAGTATATGGAGTGGTCGGGGGGTGGGGGTCACCGTTCTGAGGGTATCAGGGAGATCTGTGCCAGGGAATGGGGTATATTCAGGCCCTGGGAAGACGCTGGACTGGTTTGGGAGGTGGAGCCCTTACTTTGCCCATTAGCAAGGTCTTCTGAAACTGTCCAGGCTGTGGATCTGTAGCAAGTAAGAGGAGTTTCTACCCATCCCTCAGAACTCACCTTGGGACCCTGGATTCCCTGAAGGCCCTGGAGGAGAGAGGACAGCATATCAGAAGGGTGTACAGATGGATCCAGACCTCAGGGCCTGAGCCCTCTTACAGCGGCCACATAGGCTTGCAGACCACTCCTGATCCCTGTGGCTCTGATTTCTGCAGCCTTTGCCCTCCCTGCCTGACATGCCCTTTCCCCAGGGGACCCTCTAGGGTCACTGCTCCTGGGCCTGGGTTCACCATGCTTCCAGTCAAACATTCTTACCACAGGGCCTGGGGGACCAGGAGGGCCGGGAGGTCCTGGTTCCACTATGATCTGGGCCTAGGAAGGAGTCAGAGGTGGGTTAGTCCCCATCACCCCACCCACTCGTGGTCTTGAGCTCAGTGGACACTGGTAGAGCAATGGGCTCCCAGGTCCCCCCGGGTCCAGGCTCCTTCCTGCCCGGAGATGGGCACTGTCTGGTGGCGGGCCAGCATCTGGCCTTTGGGCTCTCAGATGGCCCTCAGGCAGATGACACAGTCCAACATTCCCTTACTCTCCACTGCCCTGGGCTTGGTCAGGCCAAGTGGCCCTTCTGTCCCCAGGCTTGGGGCTCCAGATGGTCTGGGCTGGGCATTGTGGGGAGCCTCTGGCCCTTAGGAGCCTCCTTACCAGACTCTCCCTTAGCTTGTCCGATGCTGGCTCTCCCTTCTCCCCCTTGGGGCCGTCGGAGCCCTGCAGGACAGGATGGCCTTGAGCCCTTTCTGTCCATCACCCAAGCTACCACCCACAGCTCAGCACCTGCCTTCTTCCCCATAAGACTCTGGGAAGTAGAATAAGTTGGACTTTGCAGCTTAGAATAGTTTCCCCCTAAATCACTGTGACACACCCTTGGTGCCCAGCAGAGGTGTGTTTAGGGAGTATATCTGCCAGGCGAGGGAAAGGATCATGCTCAGCGAAATAAGCCAGAAAGAAAAAGAAAAATACCAGATGGTCTCACTCATAGCAGGAATCTAGAAAACTTAAATAAGGGACCAGGAAAATGAATAACTATAAGAAAGTGAAAATCAAAATCAACAAAAAACTATGAACCAGAGACACTCTATGGGGGGTAGGGGGCGGGAGGGGAGGGATTGGTGTCAAAATAAGGGGTTGCAATTGTATGGGGAATATAAAAATAAAATTTATTATATATATAAAAAAAGAATGCTTCCTAAACTTTGTTCTTGAGGTATGAATGATTTCCTGTGGGGCAGGGGTGGCCAGGTATTCAGGAAGGGAAGGCCAGGTTCTCTAGCTGAGTGGGCCTCCCAGGGGACAGAGGGGTACAGTGGTGACACAGTGACTGCAGCAACCCGGCAGCTCTTTCAAGGCAGCCTTGACAAGAGCAAGAGGCCAGAGGACCCTGACTGATGCAGGTACCAATTGCCATTCTCAGCCCTGACTGTGCATTCCCTGTGGGAGTGGAAATGTTCATCCCCATTTTTGAGTTAAAAATGGAGGCTCTAAGGTAGGGTTCTAGGGCAGGATGTGACCTTGGCAGTCAGAGCCTGTGGTGTAACCACCCACTGACTCCCTTCTACAAGGGGGAGTGCATCTCATTTCACCTATATGGAGGCCTCTGCGTGGGAGGCGCCAGAGGCTCAGAGAGTCAGAGTAGCTGACTGGGAGCCCAGAGCCTCCTTTCAAAGGCTCAGTACCCCCAGGTTGAGCTGAGATTGCAGGTCCTAGCCCTCAGCAGCTTCCCCAGTAGATACACATTCATCTCCCCTCCCCCCACCAGGGCCCTTCACATACCGGAAGACCGGACAGGCCCATTTCACCTGCTTCTCCTTTGGGCCCGGTTGACCCAGGCTCTCCTGGGTCTCCTTTTGGTCCTTTGGGCCCCTGGAAATGCAAGAACAAAGTTTAGGAGGTATTCTCCTTTCCCTCACCTGGAGGTCCCCCGAGCTTAGTCCAGGCCAGACCCCTACTTCCTCATCATGGGTGCCTGCCTCTGGCCTGAGTGATGAAGGTACCAAGGAGCCTGGAAGGGGCCCAGGAGCATCCCCAAGCCTCCTTAACTGTAACAGAGTCACAGGGGGCAGAGAGGGTGGGACTGGCAACTGAGGTGGCAATTAGAGGGGGCTCGGGGTCAATCCTTATCTCTCAGGATATAGTGGTGGGAGCCCCCAAGCTCCACATACAATCAACCATCCCTCCAACCCCCTTCTACCCACAGCATCCTCACTCAACAATGTGTAATGTCCACTAGGGACCCAATGCAAGACATGCCCACAAATGTCAAGTGACACCATGGACACAGTGTCTCCACAGCATCACACGTGTGTATTTACAAAACTAACACTGTGATGGTGTCTGCTAACATTTGAAGGCTCTTTGCCTCTATGCGCCAGGCACTGCCCTCAGTATTTTCCATTCATCTGTTTAATCCTCACACCAAGGCTGCCAAAAAGTAGGCAACCTGCCCCAGTCACAGGGCAGAACCAGGATGTGTTCTGTGGTCTTTTACTAGTCCTGAATACGAGTGTGTGCGTACACACACACACGCACACGCACATACACATACACATGCACACACACACAAGTGCGCACACATGCACACACAAACACACACACTCAGAGCTTGACACCAGGGACCAGCATCACCAAGGAAATGAAAAGCCCAGAGACCTTCTCCCCATCGATTCCTGGGGCACCGGGTAATCCAAGTTCACCCTAGGAAGGAGCAGACGGCAAGAGGGGTTACAATGGCTGGAGGTTCCCCTCCAAGAGATTGGTGGCCCGAAGGCTGGGTTGGGCTGGCTTTGCCCCACCTCACCCAGCACTCCCACCCTTGCTGCCTGTCCCAGGGCACCATGTAGGCTGGATGTTATAGCTTTGGAAGCTGGGCTGGAAGGCCCAGTGGTTTGCTCCTGGCAACACAAGCCAGGAACTAGGGTCACCCCTGCCAGGGGTCACAGTTTTGAGCTCCCCCAAGAGCTGAGGAGACAAGGTGTAAATGATGCATATCCATAGAAATGGCCATGCAATCTACAGAGACTTTGGGGTGTCATGAGGGAAGGTGAGGATGAAACTTCCCAGGGAGTAGCTAAGCCTGGGAAGAGGGCACCAACTTGATTAGAAAGGAGCAGGGCCCTTTCTCTGACCCCCAGAGCCCATGCTGGGAGAGAAGCAGAGGGTCATGGCAGTGAGGAGGGCTCTGCAGACAAAAGGGGGTCATGCAGCTGCATCTGCACTGACCTTGGCTCCAGGGATCCCTGGTGGTCCTGGGGGCCCCTGTGGCCCGGGAGGACCCTGTGTGAAAGTCAAGTCGATCAGTGTCCAGGCAGGGGCTCCCTGTATTTGCCCGCCCATCCCCTCTACCCTGGGGCCATGTCTCTTCCAGTCAAGGTGCACAGCCTGCTTCCCACCCAGTCACGTCAGGCTGCTGACTTGGGGAAGGTCAGGAAGATGCTGTAGTGCCCAGCTATGGAGGGCCCATAATCTTTCAGCCCTCAGAGAAAGTGCTCTATAGTTTTCTTCACAGAAATTCAGACCCAGATCCTGAGATGGACACCTATTGCCTCTGAGAGCAACCATAAATCCCCACTGGTGTTTAAGGCCAGCCCAAAAACGCATCCCCAGCAACCGCCCTGCCTTTTGGCCTGTCCTGTGGGCTCTGACTGTTGGCATCATTGCCTGCTGTGTGTGGTCCCCGGGAAGTTCCTGGGTAGGGAATGTTGTTTCTAGGTCTGACCCAACTCCCAGCTCCCTCCCCATTACAGGCTTCTTTCATGCCACCTGCCCACTGTGGCTTGTCAACCCTTGGGTATTAGCTACTCCCTCAGCCCAATAATCTATAGTGTCCCCCACCTCTACCAGCCTACCCCTTCTTGTTGAGATGTCCCTGGCCTTACTATTGTCCTCCATCCCACTTACCAGGCCCTGGGTCCAGTGTCAACCTCCCTGTGCATCCCCACTGCCTCCAGCTGGCCCCACACATACATTCTTATACTTACCATCTCATCCCTAGCTAGTCTCCCCCCAACACGTGATTTTTTTAATGTCACCCATCTGCTCAAGAAACAAGTATGGCTGCTGCTGCCCATCCAGTGGAGCCATCCTCCTTGTCTGGCATCCCAAACCTTCCCACCTCCCAGTTCTCATCAAGCTTCTCCCAAGGAGATACCATGCAGGTGCATGCCCTGGGGCTACATCACACCATGCCACACCATGCAGGCCTGGGGGCCACTGTTACCATCAGCTTGTACTTCCCTGAGGCCTGTGGGAGATAACTGGAATTGAGGCTCAGGAGTTATTAGGTGCCTGTGAGCTGCTAGCACCCAGCTTCTCTCGCCACTGGAGATTGGTCCCAAGTTGCTGTGTTGTGGGCATTCCTGAGGCTCCTGGAGGCAGGACTTGCCACTCTCATCCTCCCCCAATGATGACTGGAAAACCCAGTCCTCTAGCCTGTGTTCCCTGGGAAGGCCCCAGGAGAGCCTACTGGGACCAGCCACTACCCCTTTTTGCCTTGTCCTTTGGGGAACTCGGGGCCACATGGACCATATTCACAGCTGCTCTCTCAGCACCTATGGGTCTCAACACAGCACTAATTTCCTTATCAGGTACCTGATGAAGTTGGAGTGTTTGTGCTAAACTGCCCCTGACCCTTTGTGTGAAGAGAAGGACATATGTGGTCCAACCAGGAACATTACCTTAAGGGCATCCAAGATCCTGCCATCGTAGTCAATTACTACTGTGTCTCCTTGCTCACCTTTGAGGCCTGGGAGACCCTGAGGCAGGAAAAAGAGGAATAAGTCAGGGAAGAGCCACCTGTCTGTCACCCAGCAAACCTTGTGTCTTGAGCCCATAACCTGGTGGCACCCCAGCACATCTAGTCTTCCACATCCACACCAACAGTGGCTCCCCAGCGCACGGAGAAAACCCTCCACAGGGCAGGCAGGAGTGCACACAAGGGGAGCCAGCTGAGGAGCATGCCCCTGTCTGGGCTAGGGCTGGCTGCGAGTCACCCACTGAGCTGGATCCCTGTGTTCTGGAGGGAAAATGGGAAATCTCATGTTGACGTGAAGTTCCTCAGACTTTCAGATGCTGGCAAACAAATGCAAATATCCAAACCCTCCAAAACACTGTGGAGACCAATAAAGGACATGCTGACTGGACCTTGTCCTTGCGCTCCGGTTTCCAACTTCTGGCGACGAATGCATTCACCATGCGTTAACTTTCCCACCCAGGTCACTAGCACACATGTGCCCACATCTGTACATGCATGTGTGCATAAATCCAAACCCCCTCGCCTAAGTCTACATGCCCATACCCTCACAGCCACACAGGCACTCAAGCATGGCCAGCTGCTCTACCCTTCCCCTCTGAACCTTGCTGCCCCACTGGGTACCTCTCAGTGAGGGGAGTTATCCCTTTGATTCAGGCCCTGTGACCAGCCCCTTGCACAGGGCAGAGAGACCCGGGCCAGAACCTTATTTGCTTGCAGCCTGCACAGCACTGTACAGTTTACACTGAATTCTTGTACCCAGTGCCTAATCCAGTCCCTCTACCACCTGAACAAACAGGCTTCCAGCTTTAACAATCCTTTTTTTTCCCCTCAGGAGGAAACCAGTCTCTGGGAGGACGAGGGGATGTGACTGCCCAAGGTCACAGAGCCGAGAACAGGATCTGTCTTGTCAACTTGAAGGCTGATGAGGCTGGGTCACAAAAGATTTGGGAACAGCAGGGTGGCTGTGCTCTTGGTCACAGGGATGAGCATGAGCCCCAACTTAGGGCAGTGCCTCCCACAGGGTAGGGTGATGTGATGTGTAACAAATTGAGGGTCTGTGTTGACTAGACCAATATGAGAGTTTAGGAAAAGACCCACAGGTAAAGGGGGGAGCAGGGAGAAGAGGGGAGAGATCAGGTCTCTACCTATCCGTATTTCAGCATTTTTACCAAGAGTATATATTATGAAATTAAACAAACAAACCCAGAGAATGAATTATTATATATAAAAAAAGCAACTTCTGGTTGTGGCTTTGCTCCTCTGCGGTCTGTGGGGGACAAGGAGCTTCTGAAGCAACTGGGCAGTTGGATCCCAGGGGAAATGGCTTACCCTTAGCCCTGTAGCTCCGTCGGCACCTCGAGGGCCGGGCTCCCCCTGTGGAGATACGTGGTTGCAGCCACGTGTGTGGAGGTAAAGCCAGAGGCCCCTGTCCCTGTCCACCCCTTTGTCCCCAAAAGGCACAGGGACCATGTGCTGGAGCCCTAAGGGTCTATGTAAGTGACTTGAAACCTTAGAAATGGGATTGCTGCATGGCGGACCTAAGGGACCCTCCTCCGGCCCCACGTCGTGTAAGGATGGGTGGACTGCCAGGAGCCCAAGGCTACACAGTGACCTGGTCACATAGCTGGGCCTTGGTGGAGACCTGGCATCTCTTCAGACCCTCTGCCACCCACCCTCTGGTCAGCCTCTGATTGCCAGTCCAGTCAGACTCCTAAGTCCAGATCTCCCGGAGACGTCCAACAAAAAGGAAATCACAGTAGGTCTCCCCATGATAGGAGTGCTGGGGCCCCGAGGGAGCTGGAGCTGTGTAGTGATATCACCTTTGGTCCTGGAGCACCGTCCACACCATTTTCTCCCTGAGTCCCCGTGCTGCCTGGCTCGCCCTGTAATAGGACATTCGTGGGTGAGGGCTGCTGGCTTTGAGACTAGTTCTGGGGTGTGCTTGAGCCCATGGGGGTTTGTGGATGGACTTCAGGCTCTCCCCAGCCCTGGGGACTCAGGGCCAAGAAATCCTTCCAGGCTGGGTCTTAACATATTCATAGCAGCTCAGGGGCTCAAAAGATATTTTGGAGGCAGGCTGGGCAGGATCTGGTGACCATCTTGAGGGGTTGGGGAAGCCACTTGATATCCAGTTCTGGACTTGTGGATAGGGCAGAGGTGTCCAGCTACGGTGGGACTTGAGGAGGTGAGGGGAGGCACATGGCCAGATGAGCTGCCAGCCTCGTTGAGGAAGGCCCAGGACCTTCCTGCTGCCTCTCTGGCCAGCCTTGGGCTCCAGCCCATGCCCCCATGATTGGTCAGGGACAAAAAACCAGGCAGGGACTTCACCGGGCTGATGGGGACCAAGAGAGGGGGGAGGCAGAGGACTTTCTGGGGGAGGGTCTGGCATACCTACCTTGGGCCCCGGGGGTCCTGGGAGCCCTGGCTGGCTTGGTGTCCCATCATCCCCCTGAGGAGAGAACAGCTGGGTCAGACCTGGACACAGGCCTGCCTGACTGTGGTCCATTAGGCTTCCTCCTGGCATTCCCCAGCACACCAGTTACTTGTGCTGCCAGGCTGGTCACACTGGACGGGGCAGTGCCTATGTCCCATTCTCGCCTCTGTCCCCTGGCCCCAGCACCCAGGGCTGGTCCAGTGCATGCCTCAGCAACAGTGTACAGAGGAACAGCGGGGTGGTGAAGGCGAGGGAATTCATTCAGGCAGCAAACACCTTGTAAGCATACTCTGCGGGCCAGGCAGATGTGTCCCTGTGAAATGGCTCAGAGGAGGCAGAGGGCAAAGAAATATCCAGAAAAATACACAGCGTCATGCAGGGAAGAGGACGTAAGAGAAGGGAAGGATGGGTGGTTGGGGAGGTCCTGCTTCATCTGGTGCTGAGGATGGTGTCCAGAGGGGAGAGCTGTGCTGAGACCACTATAGGGAGGAGCCCCAGGCAGGGGAGGGGGAAGAGGGAAATCACAGAAGGTCAGTGGTTCCCAAAGGGGCTGCTTCCACAGAGCATGGCCCATGCACAGCAAGTAGGTGGGCCCCACAATGAGCATGTCAGACAAGCCCCTAGTGATACTGACACTGTGGGTCCAAGGCCCACCCTTGGAGAACTACAGTCCTGGAAACAAACTTGATGTGCAGTATGAGGAAGGGGCCGAGTAAGTGACTGAGTGAATGAGATCCTGGCTTCAGAGACTTACCCACAGGGAGGCCGCCAGTCTGCTGTGTGAAGGGCATCTTCGTGCAGGGTGGTCCCCAGCCCCGCCCCAGTCCCAACCCTTCTTTCCAGCTACTTCCCATACCCCCACGAAAAGACCCCTCCAGGGATCCCCCTCACCTTTTTGCCAGGAACTCCGGGCTCACCCTGAGGGGGAAGGGGTGCAAGAGAGAGGTCAGAGCCACCAGGCCACCTGCTCTTCTGGTCAAATCAGCTCCACTGAGCCCAGTGACCCCAGCTCCACAGAGAGGCACACACGGTGGGTGGGGCCAGAAGCTTGGGACTCCACTCCCCACCCGGTTCCCTCCAAGATGAATTACTCCAGGCAAATCACTGCTCATGGAACTGGGGATGAGATACCTAGTCTTGAGGATCGCTGTGAAGTTAGAGAGAAGGTGTTGAGAGCTAACATGTTTAATTATTTGAGCCTCACAAGCCAGTGTGGCGGTATAGCAGTAAATGTTTGTCATATTTTTTCAGCCTTATTGAGGCATAACTGACAGGTGAAATGGTAAATCTTTAAAGCATATATGATGAGTTGATGCACATATACAGTGTGCAAAGACTTCCCTTGATTTAATTAAGGCATTGTCACCTTCAATATTTTACCCTTTTTTGGTGTTGAGAAAATTCAAACTCTACTTGCTTAGCTTGTCATTCCCCCATTTAACAGATGAGTAAACAGAGGCACTAAGTAACTTGTCCAGGCCTGGGGAGGAGGATGGGGATTGAGAAGCACTCACCTTGGCTCCGGGAGGTCCTTTGGGGCCCTGGAACATGAAACGAGGTATGAAACACGATGTGGAGGGGCAGGGTGCAGGGCTGTGTACCTACAGTCACAAAGCCCAGTGCGGGTGTGTGTGGGAGTCTCCAGGCCTGGAACCCACCAGCCTAGGCCTCTGAAATGCCCTGGGTACTGACCATCTCGCCACCTTGTCCAGTTTCTCCTTTGGGACCCTGAGAGATGCAAGAAGATGAACGTGAGGGAATGCAGGGATGTCAGAGCTCACTGAGCTCACATCTCGTACCATACCCCTGAAAAGGAGGAATCACTGCCCCCCTTCACAGATAGGGAAGTGGAAGCTCAGGGACTTATGTCCCCAACATGACAAAGAATGGATGAGTCAGCTGAGTAGCTGTCCTGAGAGGGGACCCAGGTGGAGTCTGATGGGGGTGTCAGCTCTGCAGGGGAGAGGAAGGACAGGCTGGAGTCCCTGGTCTGGGAGAGGGACCGTATAGTGAGGTCTGGTTTCTGGAGTTCAGGTTAGGACTATGGGGGAGGAGGGCATCTGAAGCTGACTAGTTAGTACTAGAGACTAGTGGGGAGGGGAAGGGAAAGAGAAACAGAAATTGTTAAAGATCTGTCCCCGTGCAGGTGTGAAGGCTGGCACTGAGATTGAGCTAAGGCTAGGGTCAGGGTGTATGTAGGATTAGAGGGTGGGATAGTTGGGTTTGGAGTCAGGGTCAGATTTCAGGGTCTGGACATTAGTCCAAATTGGGGGTATGCATCATTATTTGGGAATGAGTCAGGATCTCATTAGTCTGGACTAGAGACTCAGTTAATGTTAGATGGAAGGTTTCACTAGGGTAAAGGTCTAGGTTGGGCTAGGGTCTGGGCTGAGCTGGAATTGGTTCTGGGACCAGGGCCTGGTGGGCCTCCCTTACCGCTGGGCCTTGTGCTCCCCTTGGGCCATCTTTCCCAGTGTCTCCAGGAGGGCCCCGGACCCCAGGGGGTCCAGGGGGTCCTGGAGGCCCAGCAGCTCCATCTTGTCCTTGGTCTCCCTGAAAGAGATGGGGTGTGGCATGACTCTGAGGGGGAGGGAAGGGGATGGGTAGCCCTGATGCCTTCCCCTCTCCCAGTCCCCTTAGGCTCAGAGGGAGGGAAGGGCTTTGTGATTCTTGCTGCTTCTTGACAGTCACATGAAGGGACAGGTCTCTCTCCCTCAGCATGAGGCTAACAGGTTAACTTTTTACACTGCAAACAATGCACATCTCTAGCCCCTGCACCTGAAGCCCACCTCTGGAGCTCAGGTGAGAGGTGAGAGACCCGGGTGTGGGAGAAACACCTGTCCCACGGCCCCCTCTTTCTGGAAGGGGGACTGCACATCTCCTGACAGACCTTCCTGCTTGGCCAACTCCTGCTTTATTAAGTGATGGTGGTGCATTCTTAGGTTTGGGTTCCAGAGAAATGAAACTTAATGTTCACACAAAAACCTGTACACAGATGTTCATAGCAGCTTTATTTGTAAGAGCCCCAAACTGGAAAAATCTAAATGCCTTTCAGTGGGTGAATGGTTAACCCACTGGGGTGTACCCATATCATGAAACACTGCTCAGCAAGAAATGAAAAGGAGCATAGTATGAAGACATGCAGGAACTTGAGTGCATCTGAGGGCCAATTATGCTGGGAGGAGCGAGCCAGTTTCGAAGGCTGCATGCCCTATGATTCCATGTACTGGCCACTCACACAATGGCAGAATGACAGAGCTGGAGCACAGATTAGTGCGGGCTAGGAGTTAGGCGTGGGGAAGGGAGGGCAGCAACTATAGCTGTGAAAGAGAAGTGGGAGGGATCTTTGTGTGATGGTTATGCTAATCTACCCATGTGACAAAATCACAGAGAAGTAAACAGACACAAAAATGAGTAAAATGGATAAAATCCGATAAAGGTTGGTGGATTGCAGCAATGTCAATTTCCTGGTTGTGAGATTGCATTAGTGTGATGTAAATGTAACTTCATCCAGGGAAACTGGATGAAGGTCCATGGGGTATTATTAATTACAACTGCATGTGTAATAAACAAACTGCACTCAAAATAAAAATTTAAAAAAGGGTGACAAAGAGCCACACAGTCATGCAGCCTCCAAGTCCCAGCCCTTGGATCTGGTGTTAGTGCCAGGTCAGACCTCAGGCAGCCAGAGCCCTCATCTCAAAGCACCCCCTGCCAGGAGGGAAGCCCACAGCACCAGGGTGGGACTTCCAGCTGCCCCTGTGGTACCCGCCAGCACTGACACCACGTGCACTGTGCCAGCGCTCCTAAGCTCCTTGCTATGAGTGGAGCTGACCCTGGCAGTGTCTCACCCAAGCTTGCAACCTCCTGGCCAGGGTACTGCTATTGTCCCATCTTACAGATGGGGTGGCTGGGTATCAGAGCAGGTAATAGATTAGTCAGGGTGACAAAGTGAGGATAGACAGTGCCTCATCTAACCACTGAAGTCTGTGGTCTCTTTCAAACCCTTTTTCAAGTGTGGACCCCATGACGTGGAAGAGCGCACTTCTCTAGCAAACTGTTCCTAAGACAGTTCACGAGTTTTCCCAATTAAAAAAATCCTGAGATTCTCAACATCCATCATGCAGACTGGTCTGACCTGGTCTGGGTGCTGACCAAGAGGACCTAATCCCAGCCAAGAATAGAGAAAGGGGTATGTGGCTAGGTCACCCAGCCATGGGTGGAGATGGTGGTGGGCAACTCGTTTCATTTTGTGCTGTACTGGGAAGAACCTGAAGACATTCCAGGAACCATTTGCCTGGACACTACTTACTTGAGCAGCAAATGCATTTAGACATTTGAGTAGGTTCCTGAAGAGGTTTTTAGGATCTCCCTGAGTTACTCGGGAATCCTGCAGGGATCTGATGGCTGAGGTCTAACCCAGGAGCGTGGGGCGAGTTGAGGGGGGGAACACATCAGCAGGCCCAGACACAGCACTCGGCCTGTCTACCTTGAGCACGTGACGATGGTACATGTGATGGTCTCTGCTTATAAAGCCCGGGTGGAGCCATGGGAAGACCATCTAGTCAACAAACAGGTTATGTGGACAGAAGGCAGGGGGTGATTTAGAAAACCACAAGGCTATTTCTGGAGGCAAAGCCACATCACCCAGCCCAGAGAAAGGCAGTTCGGTGATTGGAGGCAGGGGAGATACGCCCCGGTCTGAGGGACCTAGTCCAGCCAGAGGGTTAAGCACCCCTCTCTCACCTTCCCCTTTTCATTCCTAGATATACAGTGTCCTCCTCTGGGCTCTCAGGACCTTGCTCCATTCCTGTCTCTAGCCTCCAGGCTTGTAGATGCTCACAGTGGGTGACCAGACCACCAGCTCCAGCGCCCACCCCTCGACCTCACTGAGAGCAGCAGGGATTACGTCCCTCTCGTGCCTTTCTCTGGGCAGTTGATGCCCACCTCTCAGGCTCTGAGTCAGGATGCGGTGGAAATGGCACGTGCTAGGGCTGCTTAAGTGACACTCCACCATGACCCAGTTTGCAGGACCCACCTGGGGTCTCTGCTCAGCTGCAGCTTCTGCTGAGGAGCTCCCGGGCTGGGCACCAGGCTCTTCAGAGCCCCTGGGCCCAGAGAGGACACTGAGGGTCAGTGTGGTCCGGGTGGAGATTCCATCTACTGTTCCCACTTGGGGAGGGAACACCTTTATAATTGCAATGAGTCTGTCATAGCGTTGGAGTGGGGCCTGTCACCACTGCCCAGCTGGAACAACTGAGTTGTGGAAGGGTATGTTCAAAGTCACTCTGCTGGTGAGTGGTAGAGCTGAGATTTGGGTTCAGAGCTGCTGACCCTACAGCCTTCTCTTCTCCTGGGTTGCTAGGTGGGACTAGGGTCAGCCCCGTATGCCCCCATCCATGGTAAGAAATGAGACCTGGACATCTCCCAGGGATACCTGTGTATGGGTGGGGGTGTAGCCTCTGCCAGATCAAGGTGCTTGGGGCTTCCTCCCACCCAGTGACCATTTAAGTGAAAACAGGTAGCAGGACAGATCATCGGGCAGGAGGTGGGCTGCCTGGCCCTGCTTTCTGTGGTAAGTTACAGGGACCCAGAAGCAGCGCTAGATATGCCTAATTATAATAGGGAAAAAAACATGTTTGTTGGGGAAGGGCTGGTGAGAGGGTCTCACTCAGTTCTTACCTGGGGGCCAAAGTCTCCTGGTGCACCCTAGGAACAAAACACAGGGAGACAGAGCTGCACTATTTTATTACTGCTTCACATGCTTGGTCTCATTTAGTTTCAAGAAAAATGACACACGGGCTCTATTTTTATCTACATTTCCAACAAGGAAACTGAAGCATAGGGCGGTTGAGGAACCTGCCCAAGGTCACACAGCTGCAGATGAAGGGCTTGCAACCACGTCTGTTGCCACCTGCCCTCAGATGTGATGGAGCAGAGATAGCTGCTCCCACTGTGTCCCTGAACCACAGAATGGTGAGGGAGGATCATAATTACTTTACGGATTGTCTTAAGTCACTGAGTTTCTGGGTAGTGGTTTAGGCAGCAATAGATGCTGAGATACCAATTTCTCTGTGGTTTTAAAGGCCCTGGTGTAAAAATTGGAAGATATTCCATTTCTACAGCTTGGTGGCATCAACCTGTACTGGTGGGCATGTGCTTGCCATGTGCACCAGTGTCTCATCATCTACAAAGAACCCTCAGACATCTACCTCAGGCAGTTGTCCCCAAGGTGCTGTGGTATTGGTTTTAATGTCCACATAAAGAAACTGAGGGCCATCCAAGGCCACACAGTTGTGATGGAGCTGAAGGCCAAGCTGAGGCCCTGAACAGTAGATTCTGTGCCTTGTATCCACCACTCACCCCTAGGTGGGCTCTGGGCATTCCATGCCCCCGAACGTGCTGTGGACACAGAGGTAAGCTAAAGAGGTCTCCCCTCTCTGCTGCTCCCTTACAAGATATTTGTGGTCCCAGCCCTCCAGGGGCCTGTCTGTGACATTTAGTGCCAGATGCCAGTGAAGCCCTTCTCACAAGGATCTACAAAGATCCCGTCATGTGGAGGTGGAGGTGCCCTCTCCACAAAGAATGACATTAATGGTCACCGTTCAATCCCCCAGGCTTTGCTGACACCCCTTTTGTGATCAATTACTTTGGAAATTTGTCATTCTGGGCAGACGGTGCTTGGAGTTTTACTGTACTCTGGGGCCAGGAGAACTCAGATTCAGCTCTGCAGGCACTTTACTATGTCAAATATCAGCCTTGTGGCCATTTTAGGAGGTGGCACTGACAGCCCCCAGTTCACACATGAAGGAACTGAGGTTCTAGGAGGAGATGTGATGCACTCAAGGTCCACACTCTGGAAGTGGGGTTTGGAAACTGTTTCTGGCATTCTTCATCAACTACTGCACCTGGACAACTTCCAGTGTCACTTACTTTTTCTCCCTTGGGGCCTGGAAGTCCCTGGAGAAGGAAGGTGGAGAAAGAGCAGATGTGAGAGAGCAGGACCAGAAGAGCCCCCCTTCTGATTCCCTATGGCTTTGAGGGCAGAAGGCCTGTGAGCCTGAGCAGAGCTGTTTGGCAGTCTGTCAGCCCTTATGACAGACTGGCCACAAGGAGCTAGTCTGGCCACAAGGAGCTCCACTTCTCAGTCCTCAGCAACCCAGAGATGGGGACTTGGGAGTCAGCAGTGAGGGCCTCTTGTGTCCTCTCAGCAGGGATGGGGATACACATGCTAGTCAGTCCCCCCAAAGAGCAGGGTCCTCCGTGCTCAGCAACCACTGTGTCCCGAGGGCTGCTGAGACGGCTGCTGCCCCTAAGCTGCCTGCTGGGAGTCTGCGAGGCAGGCAGTGGACTGAGATCCTGTCCCCTGGTGCTTTCTCTTCTTCAAGGGAAGCAGTCTCTTGAAGTCTCTTGGGAGGGGCGCATATGTTTTAAAGGCTGACTAGATGCCAGTAATGGTGGTGTCCACACCCGCAGCAGCCTGTATGATTAATAGAAGCTGCAGGCTCAGGAAGTGAAGAGGCCTCCCCAAGGTCACACCTTCAGCATGTGGTGGAACTGGACTTGAACTCAAGTCTGACAACAAATGTCTTCTCCCTGCACTGAGCCAGGTTCTCAGTGACACTTTACTCTGGTGCCCCAATGATGTCCTGTCTCAGGATCAATTAAAACCACCATGTCATCACTTACTGGCTTGCCATCCAGACCCAGTGGTCCCTGGAAAACAAGAGAGAGCAGAAGTTACACATGGAAAGACATTTCCCCTATTTCACTCCAAGTGACGAGAGACCAGAGCCTGACTGCAGACTGTGGTCTGGGTACATGTCACATGGACTGGTGTGTTGTTTGCTCCCCAGAATCCCTTCCTCTGATGACAGAACCCCATTTCTTTTCCAAACCCACCCCCAACTTCACCCACGGGTCTTAGGCATGTGACCACCTTCCCTCTCTGGGGTGACTGGCTCAAGGGTGTAAGCCCAGTAATTTGAACAGTACTCTTGGGGAAAGAGGGCTCCTTTCTCCAGATGGGGCTAAGCCCAGAGCTCTTGGGGTCACCACATGGGTCAAGAAAGAGCCAACAGAGAGGAAAGCAGAGCTGAGGCAGAGAGAAATACAGGGTGAAGGACCTGAAGCTGACACTAGCCCTGTAACTTCCCACTGTCTGTTAATACATCTGGACCCCCTAAGACAGCGTGGATTGAGTAAGGACTGAATGTTTGTATTCCGCTCTCCAATTTATATGCTGAAACCTAACCCCCAAAGTGATGGCATTTGGAGGTGGTGCCTTTGGGAGATAATTAGGAGGTGAGGGTGGGGCCCACATGAATGGGATTAGTGTTCTTATAGAAGGGACCCTGAGAACTTTCCAGTTGCCTCTCCACCATGTGAGGGCACAGCAAGAAGTCAGTTGTGCAACCTCATGGAGACTCTTGCCAGAGCCCAAACCTGATCTTAGACTTCCAGCCTCCAGAACTGTGAGAAATCAAAGTTGTTTATAGGCCACCTGGGCTCTGGTATTCTGTTATAGCAGCCCAAGCAGACTAAGATCTAACTGGAAGAGCCCTGAGGCAGCTTTAGTTTCCTTTGCAGGCAAATGTCAAGGTTGAGAGAAGCCAAATAACCCAAAGGTGAGTTCTAAGAGCTGGGGCATCTCCAGGGCTCCAGGGGTTTTGTGGTGTCTGCAGAGGGCAACATCAACGCACAGCAGTTCCCACTGGGCCCTTCCACCTGCTTACCCACTCACCCATCTACTCAGCAAGTCTTGCTGAGCTCCATCTTCATGTGGGGCTGTAGAGGAATCCAGTGGCAGTGCCACACGCCGCTCCTGGTCTCTGCCAATCCCCTCCTGACTCCTCCCACTCCTTCCTCACATTCCCAAATACACACCCCCCTAGGTATGCAACTCTACCTTCCCAAGCCTTTACACACACTTTGTCAGCCTGCCTGGCACACGCTCCCTGCATCATCTACAGCTCAGTTACCTCCTCTTCCACAAAGCCCTCCAGGTTTCTCCACTTCTCAGAGTCAGGCAATCTTTCCTGAGCCCAGCATATCTTTAACCATCCCATGTGACATCACATATTACTCATGTGTAAGCTACTCAAGTCTTTCAGTAGTCCAGGCAAGGGGTCTGATCCCTGTGCTCCAGAGCTCAAATGAGGCCAGGCATGGAGCATGTGCCCTGAGTCAAAGCAAGGAAAGGCGGCAAGATGGATGAACACCGTGCAAATAACACAAGGAGGAAAGGGAAGGGGTGGGACAGACCAGGGGTTCTGCCAGTTCTGAGAAGGGAGATGGCGCTTAAGCTTTGGGGGGAACTGGACAAGATTAGGGAGCACTACCTTGAGGAAGTAACATTTGGAGATTTGGACACAGCAAGTATGTGTGTGTGGGAGGGCACAGTGGGCAGAGAGAATAGCCCAGCAAAGCCAGGAAGGGGGTAGTGTGTGGGTTGCTGGTGCAGAGGTGCAGGCATGGACCTACAGCCCGGTCTCACTCATAGGCGCACAGGTTTGGCCCTCATCTCTGTCTATGCCGCCACAGGGGGCCAGCATCTGGTCCTCTGCAGCCAGGGATAGCTGCTGCCACTTGTCTCCCTGAGCTCTCAAGCTTCTTTCCCATCTTCATGCCTTTGTTTGGGCTGATCCCTCTGCCTAGAATATCCTTCCATGCCTTCTCACCCAGTGGGAATGTCTCATCCACAGAAACATTCTCTTGCTCTGGGTAGATGGTTTCTTTAGGGTCTGACTCCAGCCTAAGAGTTGAAGACCCCATCTGCTGGATCCAGTGTTAAAAAGCTGGCTCTCCTGGGTGGCGCTCCAGGCTCCCTTGCATGGAGACAGTCAATCTGCCAATTCCCTAGATGTGTGACAGTGGCTACTCCTTGGTATGCACATGCCAGGCCTTGCTCCAGGTAGGGAACCTGTACAATTCTGAAAATTGGTCTCCTAAGTGATTCCGGCCAGTCTGGACTTGTGGTGATAGCCTAGAGTCAGCTGGAATTATGGGAGAAAGGAAGCAGGTCATTCCAAAGTCTTGTGGGTCCAGTTCTAGGTGCCTCTGGTCAGGCACAGTTCTGGTCCCCATCACCATCAGGATCTGACCTAGCTGGCTAGTTCCTGACTCCTGGATCCACATGCCTAGCCTTCTTCCTTCAGCAGGCCACTGAAATTGGGCCCTGCCCCTCCACTCCCTGCTGCAGCCCCCAGGCTCAGGCTCTGCCAAACCACCTCAGGGCCACACCCCCCTGGGTATCTCTGCTCTGGATTCCTCACACACCCTCATCCTCTCAGCGGCAACACACACAGGGCTCCATCCCATCCTGAATCTCTTCTGGAATCTTCTGTGCCCTGCCCCCCTCCATTACCATAGTAACCTGAGAGGCAGGTGTTATCATCCTGATTTTATGGAAGAGGACACCGAGTCTAGAGAGGCTAATTCCTTGCCCAAGGCCCTGCAGCTGGTAACAGGCAACAACTGGGGCTGCAGGCCAGTAGCCCTTGGTACTATAGTCTGGAGATGCGCTTCTCTGGCTTCCGGCCACTCTCCCCTCCACTCCACTCTCACTCGGCTCTGTTCAAACCTTTTCTGCTCCACCCCACTGTCCCCTGGACCTTGCCTACCCAGAGGCTCCTGCCCACCTCCTCTGGTATGTCTGCCACAGCAGACTTGGGCCAGGCCTGTGTGGAAGGGTGTGTCCTGCTGAACTAAGTCCAAACGCAGCACAAACTTTGTCCCTCTATCAGTCTGCATGGATTAAAAACATCCACAATGCAAACTGAAATGCAAAAGAGACTAAGGGGCATTCTGCAGCTAAATAAAGCCCTTTTCCATTCGTGTGCCAGGAGAAAGGACACAGTGGGCCTCACGGCTGTCACCACAGCAGCTGGGGACAAGACCTGGCCACAGGGCCTGGACAGGAAAGCATGATGAATTCAAAGTGCCCTGAGAATAGCCATGGCAGAGAGCAGGGCCAGGTCTGAGGAAGCAGGACAAGAGGCAGAGACTCCCTGGGGCGTGACTGTGAAGGTTGGGTCCTTTGGACTCCACCCAGCCCTGCTGTGTCCTTCATGGTGTCAGGATGATGCCAGGACTGAGCCAGTGGGCTGTCCTCAGCCTGGAATAGGCCCCCTCCACACAGAATGTTCCTCTTCCCATAGCAGGATGACGTGGTCATTCTAGGGGGACTGGGGTGTACCTCACAGGCCTTGCCTTCCTCTGGGGATTCCTGGTACCTCTGTCTCCCCAACTGAGCACATCCTTTGTGGGCAGGCTCTTTGGACCCTCTTTCATTCTAACCTTCTGCCAGAGACTGTGTGACCAGAGAGAGTTCACCAACTTCTCTGAGCCTGAGCATCCTCATCACCTCTGTTCCCAGCAGGGCTGATTCTCCAGTTTTCCCCTAAAATCTGCTGGGGTCTCATCATTCTTTAGGATTTGGAAAGAACTGCTCCAGTGGTCTCATAGGTACATCTTGAGGTCCCATGCTCTGTCATCAAGCAGGTCCCATCATGCAATTTACTGAACTTGTTTAATCTCCCTCTGCCTCCACCTGTTGAATACTGACTCATTTTTCATGGCCCAGCTCAAATGATTCCTCTTTTGGGATCCTCCCGGGCTGAAGCAACACCCGCCCAGTCTGTGTGCTGCTTTGCTGGGTCCCCACCCTCTGGAAGGAAGACTTGATGCCTACCTCTGGCAGGAGGCTCTGGATCCAGCATACCTGGGCCTGGGGAACCTGGGCCTCCCGGGCTTACTGACCCACATTCGCACGTGTGGGGTCTACAGCAAAGGTGCTATGGGCACCAGGTGGAATGTGCCAACTGCAGACAGACGGGACCAGGCAAACCTCCTCTCCTTCCCCAGCTCCTGTCCCAGGGGCAGTGTCTGCACCAGTCTTCAGGAAGCAGGTTGCAGCTACAGCAGCTCCTATTGAGTCCTTCTTATTTTTTTTTTCACCTTGTTTATTTATTTTTATTTTTAAAAAGATTTATTTATTTATTTATAGAAGCACTGGGTATAGTCAAAATTGTGGCAGAGTGAGAGAATTCATCAGGGCCAGAGCAGGGAACAGAACAGGCAGAGTGATGAAATACACTGCTGAGGGGAGCAGTGGGCACAGCAGGAGAGGTCTGTTGCACCATGTGGGACCCTTGCCAGAGGCCGGGGATCGAACCAGTGCTGCAGAGGCTGCGGGCAGCTTCGCAGCCCAGTGCTCAACCGCTGCGCCACCAGGGGAGGCCCTCCTTTCTTACTTTTAAAGTCCTTTTTCAGGGGGCCTCCCCGATGGCGCAGCGGTTGAGCGCTGGGTTGCGAAGCTGCCCGCAGCCTCTGAGGCGCCGGTTCGATCCCCGGCTGCTCCCCGGCCACCGGATGAGGGTCCCACATGGTGCGCAGACCTCTCCTGCCGCCCGCTGCTCCCCTCAGCAGTGTACTTCGGTCCTTCTGCCTGCTCTGCTCCCCGCTCTGGCTCTGGTGAATTCTCTCACCCTCCCGCGCTTCTGACTGTACCCAGTGCATGTATAAACAAAAAAAAAAAAAAAAAAAAAAGTCCTGTTTCAGCCAAACAGTATAAATCTGCTGGCAAGTTGCAGGAGAATCTGGGTTCTGGCCCTTCAAGGCACCTCACAGTCCTCTCTAGGGTTCAAAAAAAAAATAAAGTCCTGTTTCAGCCAAACAGTATAAATCTGCTGGCAAGTTGCAGGAGAATCTGGTTT